ATTATGTAAATACGTTGTTTTAGCTATACTGAATACATCTGCTTAAACTTTTCGAGAGTACAGGCGTGATATCATGTTGTGTGATTGCGCAAAACAATGCATATTTATGCGATAGCAGTAATCGCGGTTGATTTGAAGACATTTATTGAAGTGTACCGTTTTCTATATCCGAAACTCAACATCAGATCTATATGAAATTTAAATAGGAACATTTCGGAATAAACCCATTTGAAAGAATTTTGCAAATATGACGGAGTTATGCACGAACATACAAAATAAAACATTTATTAGATTTTTCTTTACCGAATAAATTTTTTTACGTCGAAAAACACCCGGAAACTATAGGAAACTAATACCATAAAAAATAACACAAACATATTCGAAATAGTTTATTTTATAAAGTTCATCACTTACCTACCTATATCATTATAATTGGCACATAAACTATTTAAGTTAAAAGTCATTAAGATGTCTGTACAGTGACTTTTATCATTTTTATTGTCAATGGCGTAGAATTTTTACTTTCATATTTACTAATAAAACTATTTGTGGCAATCAGTTTTTAATTTATTGCCATTTCCATGTGATAAACTTTACAAACAATTTAGATTTTTTCTAAATTATCGTGACAAGTGAGTACGACATACGTTTAATAATTTTCGAATGTTGTCCTTAAAGCTATAAAAAATAAAATGTTTTCCTCTTTCAGATTGCTAGAACACTATAGATTTCGACGTCCTTAACATGGTAATTAAACCTGAGTATTTGTTCGAAAAATCATCAAACACAAACTATCTGCTAGATAACAACTGTTCTGTGAAACGTAATTTAGTCACGAACAACAGCTTCTCATCTTTAAATAAATTTAGAACGCCCAATAAAGCCATTGAAGAAATATCACCATACTTGAATGGCGCGAAACTCCAAATACTTTCACAAATGACAGAAAGAAAAGTTGTGCAAAAGAAGTCCAAGGAAGTAACTTCATCTTTCGCTCAAGCTTGTAAAATTTACAAAGCAAACTCTGATGAATTTAGATGCATTAAAGGGAAGTGTAAGAAAGATAAAATATCAGCTTTAAATAAACCCGTTGACCCTAACATTCCTCAAACTGTGAGTGACATGAATGATTCTGAATACCTCGTAAGAGTCGATAACAATCGCAGAACTAAACAGAAGAAACGTCGTGTTACGAAAAACTTATGCCGTCCTCATGAGAATAAAAAATATGAGTTTTATAACGGAGATCTTTTGCACTGCCCTGTAATGAAATCAAATTTAAACAGTTTACATGAAAACAAAGTGAATAATTGTAAATCATTAAAAATGAAAAAGAAAAGAAAAGGTAGAGATAATATTCAGTCGAGTGATGTGTGGGCAATGTTGAGGGAGATGAATAGGTTTCAATGCATATCTTCACCCCCTTTATCTGCTGATAGTGTTGAAACCATTAAGACAAAAGGAAAATTTCATAAAAATGACAAAGGGTCGGAGTAAGTCAATATGATTTTTCTAAAAGAGCACGTTAATTATAGTCATATAGTAGTTATAAAAAATGAGTTTAATTTCGAAAATAAACTGTCGAGAAAATTTTTCCGCGTTGCCAGGATTCAAATTTGCGCCTTCCGGGTTACGGACCCACACGTTAACCAGTGAGCGGTCGACATCGTCGCTTGAAAACGTCGACGTCTTATCTGTTTTGTTTTATAGCATTTATAGCAATCATGACTGCCATCCATTAAAAGTGTTGCTTGCTATAGAGGCACCTTCCTTAGACAAGTTCGAATCCCGACAGCGGCGAAACATTATATTTCTTCTCATTATATGTCCTATCTACACATTTTAAATTTCTTCTAAAAGCCGAGACGCACTAAAATTAAAAATACCATGTTAGAGAAATAGTTCACAAGCAGGTATAATGATGTTTTCCTGGTCATTATTAGTTTATTATTTTATTTTATTATTATTTATTATCATCATTATTATTATCACTTATTTCTAGATTTATTGAAACATGCACAACAGAAGAATTTTCATATATATCTAGTTACGACGTTAAAAGTAAATCGCGAAGTATCCTTTCACAACCATCAAGCTTTGATCGTATTACAATAATTGATAAGACAGACGATTTACAAATAAAGAAGGCTGTCAAGGACTCTACGGCCAATGTGTCGTATCCAAAAAATTCACTAAAGTGTGTAAGTAAAAAAAAAGATCACTTAAAAAATACGGTAAGAGAGCGTCGCAATGTGAATAATCTTTCAAAACACTTTGAAAGCTGTAACATAAATAATGCAATCTCTGATATCCAAGACGACAATAAAAGTACAGTTTTCAAAACGTGTTTAGCGAAAACTTCGCATGGAAGCCCCAAGAACTATGAAAGTGAAGCCACTGTTTTAAATGACTATGATATAGCGACAAAAGATTTCTGTTCCAAAGACAAATGCAAAAAAAATGTATCCACAAAACATTCTACGTTTGATCAATGTGGTGATATCTTGGAACCAATTAATTACTGCAAGCCAAATGATCAGTTATCAGAAACTTCTGAGAAATCTAGTAAAGCCGGATTAAAACGTTTATGTAAAACTACATATTCTGAGAAATACAAAGGTGAGGGATCAAAAATATCTAAGGCATATACAAATAATGGGAATGAACCTATTTGGAATTTTCAAGAACCCCAAGTCCAGAAAAACCCACGGATTCCCATACTTATTCCTAAATTAACTCAAACAGAAATAAGAAGACGACTGGCAAGCTTAAAATATCCAATTGTCATATTAGGAAAAGATGAAATAAGTTCCACTTTTCCTATTGTTCATTATGAATTCACACAGTTTAATGGTTTGGGCCATCAGATTTGGCCATACATGAAAGAATGGTCGGAGGAAATGACCTGTATGAACCGCATGGAAAATTCCACATTCACAAAATGCAAAAATAAAACATGTAAAAAGCTAACATATAATGAAAATGTATCTAATGTTTTTAAAGATTTAAAGTTAAGGAATCAAACAAAGGTAGATTTTAATACAAATTCAATAAAATCACAAAAATCAAAAGTTTTAGACCAATTCAAAAAAAAAATGTTGGGTTTAATTTCTCACAAAAATCCAAAGACTAATGCAGAAAGAAATAATAATAGCCAATTCAATCGAAATCCGGTTCTGGTTAATCGTAAGTATGTTTCTAAAGAAGTGAAAGCAGATGAAACAGACGGTAACAAAAAATTAGAGTCATACAAATTTATGGAAAAACCAAATTTAGAAAATTCGATTGTAATAAAACAAAGTCAACCTGCAATTAAATATCCATGGTCTAAAGCTAAATGGGCTAGTGATTTCATTGACAATATTATAAAGAAAATGAAAAAAGGGTTTTACTATACAAATAATTTCGACGAAGTTGAACCAAACGTAAATGACGGTAATTTGTTTTAAAATTTTTTGAATTTATTTCATATGTCGCATTATTATTGTTGTTTGATCATATTTCTATGCGAAATTTTAGAGATCGAAAGTGCAATTGATACAACTCCTGAGCAAGGATATATTAAAGAAGAAGCAATCGAAAAGGATACAGATGTGGCCAGGATACCTGGTTTTGAGGATACGCAGAACACGAGACCATTTATCATAGAGGTCAAAATGTTGACGCGCACACGAATTTCTATCCATCATTGTTTGACAAATGTGATTTTGCAATTTGACATTACTATTCCTTCCGGGTTAGAAACAATACCATCTTTGTCATTATCATCGTTTGCCTCAGAAATGGCTCCCGAGGATAAGACTATGCTCTATAAATGCAAAAATCGCATCCCGAATGCGATTTTACCAGCCCAGTTATGTAGTATTTTACCAAAATTAATAGGACAGATTAGCGAAGAGTACAAAATTTTGCCTAAAATCGAACAAGAAAAAAACAATGTGCCTGCGATTTACAGCTGTGAAAAAAGATTGAAGTTGCCTAACGCAGTGGAAAGATTGATAGAAGGGGTGTTTACGACAAGTACACCTATGGAAGAAACATTAAATAATTATAAAAGAAATTATTTGAGACGGGGTTCGTGCTGCTACCAAAAGGATATAGAACTTTTACCTGCAATTGAAATAAACTATTGGTTTGTTTCATTGTACAAACGTATAAATCTCGAAAAACCTACATCTCATATATCTGCTATTACTGATATAATTATTACGAAAAATTCTTCAGTTAACAGTTGCAGAGAATTAGTGCCGTATATTTCACCCGTGGCGAAGATAAATTCAACATTTTCAAGTTTTAATATTGCGTTACATAATACCGATTGGCAAAAATATATTTTAGGGTTAACCAATTTCATAGTCGGTATAAATTTCGGAGTGGAAACATCAAATTGTTTAAATTTTTATAACAATAATTCATTGGACGGTTTAAGACGAACGTTCAATGCACTACCTAGCTTTACAATTACCTCAGTGAACTTACCTTTGAAACCGATTTCATACATTAAACAAACCAATAAAATAGAGAGAATTAAACCAATAAAGATGAGAAGCGGTCACCAAATCGCGAGAAAAACTTCAAAGCGAACCTTTCACAAGTCACAGAAAAAGTGTAAATCCATGAGCAACATGGCCAGGGAAAGTTTTTGTACTCCATTAAATAAAATTATTAATTTAGACGATTTCCTCCAAGCTCTTGGATGCTGTAAGCAATTGTCTACTGTGTTGCGGGGATATTCAGAAAAAAAAATTTTCTCGTCTATTTTAGAGGTATTGTACTTTGACGAAATCCATCGTAACAACTTTTGATGTAGCGACATTGCGATATTAAAAATATGGGTAACATTTCAGATGAAACGTTGGATTAAAGACATCACTCAAGGGCAAGCTCTCCTTGTGCTCTTATTGGCTAGCAAAAAGGATACCAATAATTTGAGACGTTTCCGGCCAATGTTACTGCAGGGGATTGCCGTAAACAGAATAACTACCTCTACTGAGCTTGACATGGAAATTGAGGTTATTGAAAAGGAAAACATATGTGTATCACAGGTAAAAAATTTCATTTACTCTCGCATATACCACAGGGACTGTTCTGAGAAATTTCTCAGAACAATTGTTCGGGTTGATACCTGTTGCTGAATTTCACCCTACAACTGGTTAAACCGCCAATTACCAAGGATACCTTGATGGTTTGCGCACAGCCAAATACAAATACCTTTATTCATTTATTTTCCATTATTTGACAAAAAAACATTACTACATATTAAAGTCACTTGGTGAAACCTGTTGCCTCCAGCGGTATTTCCGCACCGACGAGAGTTAGGTATCTTCAAGGAGAGAGTTAACACTTACCTTACAATGCAAATGTGCCTTCTCCAATCTTGCATGTGTTCATGGGCGGCGGTCGTCACTTACCCCTTACCGCTTGCGTCGTTTTTCATAAAAAAAAGCAATCCATGTAACATTCAAATGTCAAAATATTACAAAATGTTACCATCATCATCATAAACCACTGTTAACATAGGCCTTTGCAAGTTGAAGGCAGTGGACAGGCCACATCGTTCGAAGAACTGATGACCGATGCTGAGTAAATATTCTCGAGTGGTGACCACGAACCAGAAGACGTAGCGTTGAATGGCTTCGCTCTAGTTACTCGTAGACAGAAGACATCGTAAGAATCGCGGGCAACCGATGGAATATTAATCAATAACAACACTGCTTTTAATTTTGAACATTATTGAAGTGAAACTTTTAATGCGACTTCCAACAAGGTTGCGTTAAACGTTTAACGCTGCCGTGGAGGGGTATGAAATTACTGTTGCGTAAAACGTGCAACACTCCTGGGGAGGGGGAATAGAAAGAGACAGAGCGAGAGTGAATGCGTAGCACTCGAAGTTTCACTTCTTCCCCACGGAGGGACTCCACGTAATCTGTTCTTAATTTTTACCTTTAATTTTCAAATTAACAAAAGAGCAAGTTGGTACGTTTTTAAAAAAAAAATAACGGCATTTTTTTTCTTTATTTTTTCTCGCAGAACGAAGGAATATCCTTTTTTTCAACATCAAACGGCAATCTTTGGGACGAATTGTATTGGATTGCAAAGACGACAGTAAGGGTTTCTTATAATATGTAACTATATAGTGTGTGGTAGGGCTGAAGAACCTGTTTGAGGTGCCTTTAAATATTTAAGTAACGTTTCAGTATTCGGCCCAGAGTGATTCAAGAGGAAGGTTTATATGTATCATACATTGCACCCGTGCGAAGCCGCGGCGGGTCGCTAGTTTTGAATATTGTTATGAGCTCTCTTGGCGCGACGGTCCTCTCGTTGTCGCACTAGTCCACTTTGAACTCAAGTACTGAACTGCTGTCTACCGCGCTCCGGACCCCTTTATTGGGCCGAATTTCAATTGTCTTTTTGTATGTAATGTTCTGGAATAAGGGCCCGCATTTCGATCCTCTCTTTAAATAGAACGTTCCAAAACAAGAACATTTTATTTTAGATTAATCACGAAATGGTTATCCAAATACTGCCAATTATAATTGATCTCTTATAATCGTTTCGTTAGCAAATCAATACGTATGTGATTTTATTTAAGATAAATAATAAAATTATCTATTATTATTTATTTTATATAAAATAATTTAAATTAAAACAATCTTGAATAATCGAATTCAAACATTTCCTTCTTTAACAGGCCTCAGATTATCAAAAACCATTTGATGACTCTTCAAAGAAATTGCTAAAATCACTACTTGAGAAGCGGAAAAAATTAAATCCATCTTACCTTCGAGTTATGGCGCGATACGTGGGATTAGGTTTGTTGAAGCCAAGAAGATATTAGATTTACAAATTGTAATTTTATCGTGGGATATTTAAATTTAATGATGAACGTTAATTTTGATATCTGTTTATATAAATATATTTATGTAGTTTTTTATATTTAAACGGTATTAAACAAACAACAATGATGTTCTTTTCCATAAACACCCCAGTTACATGAATACTACAACTCTGGCTGGTTAAAAGGTAAATATTTAAAAAAAAATGACGCTTATTGGGATTTGAAATATAATAATAACCCCCCCCCCCCCCCCCCCCCCCGAGTGGGGTTGCACATATATAATATAATGAAGTGTACTGTAAATACAGATCTAAACCTGTATTATCAAAACACCACATTGAAAAGCAGAACTGAGCGTTTGTTTGTCTAATTCATTGGAACGCTCTACACCTACAGGCTAAACCTAGTAGGTATAACTTAACGGATTTCAACATATGACGTGTTATTATTTACTGTTTGTGGAAGCTCGGTCCCCGAAATTGTTGATGAGTGTGGCTATTTAGGACAAGTAATCCAGCTCCAAGCAGGTCCAATTTCAAGAAAGTGATCTCGACGGATCCAACTCGGTTGGACAGCGTTCGCCAAGCTATGCGGTTTCTTTGCTTTGTTGGACAAGACTACTTAAAGATTTAACTTTGGTAGGGCCACGCAACAGTCTCCTCTGTTACACGAATGGGTAGGTCCATATGGGTCTCCTAGAAATACTCAGCGTGGTTCAGCGGACAATACAGAAGGCTATGCTAGGGGTTTCTCTGCGAAATCGAATCGACGAATGAAAGTAACCCACATAGTCAAGCGGGTCTGCAAGCTGACAGGCTGGAATGATGATGATGAAGAGGACTCAGTTGACGAAACTACATTTTTAAGACAAGGCTATCTCGTCATTTTCCTATCTGTCAAAATTTGGCTTTTTAGAAATAAAATCGCGTTATTTCTGTTAATTATGGAATACTAGCTGTCCCCGCCGGCTTCGCTGGGTCATAACATCTTAAGTAAAAAAAATATATAGGTTCCGGATAAGTAGGACACAGATGATATGATAGAACGTATGGTATGAAAAGAGACAGCAATCTTTAGAATTTCACTAATTGGTGTAATTTGAGTGCCTCAATTTCGGCCTATAAGTATTATTCCGATCGGTTCAGTAGTTTTCGCAGTATAACCGAACAAAAAAACCGTTTGTCTGTTTATTAGTATAGATGGAAGCAGTGATGAAAGTAATACGGAATTATTCCAACCAAATGATTGATTATGTTGCAGATGCAGATACATTTCGGGAGGGAATCGGTGTCTAAGATCTTACTAACGAACGGTCGTTATTATTAAACGACGTAAAAAAGTCGTGGAACGCTAGTTAACCCCAGGCGTTAACTAGCGTTCCACGACTTTTTTCTTTCGTAATTAAGAAACGGATGGTAGCTGTTACTAACGGCCGTTCATTGAATATAGGAACCTATAGTGTAGTTTATCGGTCTATAATGATGTTTAATAATATAGTATCAAAGTTTACTATTAGTTATGCTGTAACAAGTGTAAAATTAAATTATTGTAGTTAGTGCAATCAGTGTAGTTATTTATTAGGTAAACACCGATCATCGTAGATGTCAACTAATCAGCTGTCAAATGCTGCTACTGCTATGCTTCACAATATTGTCAGGAGAACGAATTTGGAAGAAATAGAGCCAGAAATATCAATTACAGATATACCCCAGGAAAATAATTGAATTACCTAATTGTTAATAACTTATATTTTACTCCAGAACATCCATCAGAATAACAATTACTCATAAATATTTTAATTCATAATTTAAAAAAATAAAAAAGATATAATAATTTGAGAACATTTTACTTTTGAAAATAAAAAATGGTATTTTATATTTGTATAGGAATGAATATTGATATTCATTGTTTTCTTATTACATTATTCTTTTACTGCACTGTTTACACAAAGCTGCTTTTAATTTTAAATTTTCTAATTTGGCGTTTTCTAATTCTATCTTCAATTTGGCAATTATTGTCTCCTTTTCCTCATTTTCTAATTCGATTTTTTTCTTTTTTGTTGTGAGGTACTCGGCTAGAGCATTGTCCCTTAATATACGAGCCTTAAAACTATCTTCTTCTAATTTGCGTTTTCGCTTTGCTGTAAAATATAAAACATATTAATGATTTCAAATCTGGCTGACCCCACTGAAGGGTTCTTTTTATTAAATCTAGTGCCAACTCCGGAGCATACTTCCTCAGCACAATAGGGAGCATGGCGTCAGGCCAAATCGACTTGTTGATGTAAAGGGAGAAAGTGCTTTACACAACAAACTCAGAAGAAACCTCATGTCTCGCATGCATATGGGATGCATTGTGGTGCAATTCCCCTTATCATCCAAAGAATTTTTTGTTAGATGCAAAAAAACACCCAAAAGAAAGGCTTTCTATTTGTAGCGTGGACCAACAATGACCTATGGTTAGAATGAATTGTGAGACTCCCAAGGCAACTATCCTATATAAGTGTCATCCACATTTACAACATAAACGATAAATTTAAGATGTTAAATTCATTGGAATAAAAAAACAGTTTCAACTAAATACTAATAATTGTAAAATAACTGTTCGATAAGGAAACAAAATTATAACATAGTTTCAATGTTTTTGTAGAAATTATAATAATTTTAGGTTTTGACAATATAGGTAAAAATGGACGATTCAAAGATGAATAAATAATTTTTTAAAAAGTTTATGTCCTAGGCTTAACGCCACGGCTGGTGACAAGAGAGCTGGTTCTTTTCTCGCTCAAAGGTTAAGCATAACTATTCAGCGAGGAAATGCAGCTAGCGTTCTTGGCACCATGCTGCGTGGATTAGGTTTATTACATAATATGTAATTTTAGATATATTTAATCTTGTAAATATTAGATCTATTATCTGGATAATGCATTTACATATTATAACAGGTTATATTTAAAAAAAAATGAATAATAAATGACAAGAGAAAGTCTATGGAAAAAGGAAGAAATAAATGATTGATGAAGGTTTGAATTATAAATTTTAGGCAACATATTATATTAGGATGTGAAGACATAAATGGCTTGAACAATAACGTTCACCTACCTAAAGTACCACTTCCGCTAGCCCTATTTAAAAAAAGAAATTTAGGTTTTGGTGAATGGGTCTCAACACTTTGTTGTTCATTTAACACCTCCTCCTGTGTTACATCACCACCACAAACACCACCATCACTATCCTCATATCCATCCTCATTTTCAGTTACAAGTTTTTCAATATCGACATCCACTACTATGTCATTGATGGCATCTCCACCAAACTCAACAGAGAAACCTTGGCAAGTATTGGCCAAAATTGAAGTAACTTTGTCCAATACTTCATCTGGCGGAAAATAGTCCTTACCACCTCCAGTCTGCAACAAAGAGCTGTCTTACTACAAACAAGGAAAATGAAAAATAAAGTTCAATTTGATATTAAGTAATAACAATGAACATCTATCATGTACGAATCGGTATAGTTGTGAATTAAAAAATTAAAGGTAACTCATATATATATTTAATATTATCAATAACGCCACTAACCTTATTATGGTTACTTTTTATGTTTGCGCAACGTTTGCGAGCTGCTTTTTTCAAGTTATCCCATTTAAACCGAAGCTGCGAAGAAGTTCGCGGGAAACTACTGATTGAGGAATTAAATTCATTTGTCAAGGTTTGCCAAGCCTGTTCCTTCAATTTATTGTTTGTGGCATTCGTTGTCTTATTATTAATGATTTTATTTGCAGCCACAAGCTCTACTAAAAGAATTGTTTCATCCTTCGTCATGGGTGCTGCTTTTGTTGACTGAAAAAATAAGTTTATCAAAACTTAAACGCAATGTTAAATACATTATCAACAACTTCATAAATACTTACAGAGTTCATGTTTGATCATTCATAAAAAGGGAACTTGAACACAAAATTAAAGGTAAGTCGATAGGTTTAGGCGTTCATAAGATACACACATCAAGTTTCAACAGTCAAAAATTCTTTTGTTTTGACTACACCTATATATCTTAATACATATTTGAGATTGCACATTTTTTAAGTTTCTATGGTATATATTTACGCCCAGTTCCATATTCAACGAACGGCCACTAGTAACAGCTACTATCCGTTTCTTAGTTGCTAGTACCGAGGCGTTGACGTTAACTAGCGTTCCACAACTTTTTTACGTCGGTTACTTCAAAACGTAGTGGTTTTATTCTCTTTGATATCGTAGGGATGCCGAAAAAAATATCGATGCGATAAATTTTAGCCCATATATTTTGATCCGATATATCGATATAAAAATTCAATAATATGGAAATCGTATGAAAAACGACATTTTATTCAATAAATTTGTATAAAAATGTCGATTCAGCTGAATATTAGCAGATTAAAACCCGTTAAAGATAAAAATGAACTGAAAAAGCTGTTGTCTATGACTAGTGTTGTTGCGGATGTAGTGTTGGATTTAGTACTATAATTATGGTATTTATACTACAATTCATGTCTCGTACTTTATACTATCCATATCTAAGGTACAACATGTTATAGAGGTGTTAAAAGTCATTAATATTGAATTACATGTTATGCTAATTTATAAATGGCTTGCAAAATATTAATGGTATCAAAAAATCTTTCAGGTCATAAAAATTATTCTCAATTAAATTTTTTAAATTGTCATTTAGCCTTTTCATGTCAATCAAACAACTGTTACTAAATTCTGCTGAACTACAGTCTGTTAAATACAGGTTGATACGCGGGAAAGTGATATTGACATATGTAAGCTATACTTTGTTTTATCGAGCTAAAAAGGTAGTTATAAATTTTTTAATGTGAAAGTTCCCAATCGAGCAGGCGGTTCATCTGATGTTAAGTTAATACCGCCGCCCATGGACATCTGCTATACCCGACGGTTCCAGATGTGTTGACAACCTTTTGGAAATTGGGCTCCGGCCACCTCACTCCCCAGTCGAAACGCCAAGGTCGTGGTACTTACCCGGACGAGCCTGCCCATTCGTGCAACAGCCGAGGCTGCTGCGTGGCTCTACCACCTTAGTGGAGGGCCACGCAGCATTGACAATACAGTGACTTGAACTTATTCCTACAAGAATAAGTTTATGCGTCGTCTTTACAACGGGTAGAATCCCTGTTTATTGAAGGAAAATGAGAATAAATAAACAAAGACGTAAATGACCATATGAAAGGTTTTATCATTTAATTAGTACTCTAGCAAGTTCATTCAATTCCAAGTTTGATGCCGCCTTGTTTTCTATTGCAATTAATATATAAGGTTGTCTCTCAAAGCTAAATAGCTCTTTGCAAGAGAAATAATTCTTCTTCTATCCTTCACTAGGTGGGGCACAACATGCCCTTTCCTCTATCAGCTCAATACTTTCACAGATGTCACTCATAACACAATCCATCCAGATTATCCTTGGTGATGATGATGAATGCGGTTGGAGAGTGTAAAGCTAGGGGAAAGCTTTACACTCTCCAACCGCATTCATACCTTCTCATGGATTGGCCGTATAATTTAACGGGAGTGAGGTTTTTGCCTGTTGGCAAATAAACATGACCGCTTTTCTCCGGGTTTACCACGATCCGCCACATACTAAACCATTCGCCGATGGCGTTCAGTGCAGATTGCAAGCGGATATTGACCCGGTTTTTGTTGGCGTCAGATGCGAATAATACGGTGTCGTCGGCGCATAAAGCCAACTCGACCTTATGGGTTCAGTATATTATGCATCATCTTTGGTCTCGAGGATGTCGCTTGTATATGGCGAGTATACGGTTAGGCTATTGAGCCTAACTGTATACCCACAGGGATCAGTATTGACTGATCCCTGTGAGGTGCCCGCTCTGACGGCGGCGGGGGCGGGTGAGTTCCATCCACTCTATCATGTCAATCTGGCATGCCTAAAGAATACAACTTAAAAAATAAGCAGTTATGCCAGACTATCGAAAGCCTTTGTGACGTCAAATAAGAGAATTCTTACACTACCAGTGAGGCGGTGCACATGTAGAATGCATGAATTTCCGGCTCTTAAACTAAACAGTTCGTCGGGTACAATGGATAGTGCATGAACGCATTTTTTAATCCTTGCTAGGATAATGCACGCGCTTTTTAACAACGGAAATTAAAAATAAAGACAGTTTTACATTTTTTATATTTTTAAAGTTTTCACTTCTGAGGGGCGCTATGGCTGGAGCTCTTGGAATCGCGCATCGATGCGGACCTCCTGCGTTTGATTTCTTCCTGGCGGCGGACCTACAACAAAACACAAATGTCAATATGAATAAAACTTGAAATTGTTTTAAACATACTTAGTTGTATAAGTAAATAAACAAATGTAACACATTTAGCATAAACTAATAAGCATTTAGTTAAGTTACAAATTAAAAAGTATTTTGTAACTTAACTAAAAAAAGTATTAATTACTTTTATTTTGCATGTTTCCAATGTAATCATGGACATCTTTGCCCTTTTGAAACTTTGTTGCTGATTTAATACCTTCACATATATTAATAACATGCCAAGGGGTAAGACACAGCCTTTCATCTTACAGCTAGTATGATTAACCTTCATATTGATAGGATCATATGATACTAACTGTACTCAAAAGATTTGACTGTAAAATTTAGTTATAATAAAGTGATTTCATTTACCATCTTAGTTCAGTTCAATTATATATATTTAATATCTTTAGCACTATTTTGACTCTAGACTCCAGCTCTAGTAACCAAGACAAATGAAAAAAGAAAACAAGTCCAAGTATAAAGTAGTAAAAAATTAATTTTTAAATAATTAAATTCGGAAATTTTACCTTAGATTCCTTCTTTCTTTGAGCAAGCAATTTAGCATATTCAGCCTCAGAAGCCTTGCGCTTTGCCAAACGTTTCTTCTTCAGAGCCAAACGGTGGCGTCTACGCTGCAGTACTACAGGGGTCACCAACCTTTGGATCTTGGGTGCCTTTACAAAAATATTAAGATTGAATAAAACATTCTAAACTGAATTAAAAATGATTGTCTCGGTTTTTTCACATAATCATTAAGTTTTTATAGCAATCACCACTAGTATGCCACTTTCTGGTGATGATGATCTACAATAATTATTCATATAATACATTCATAACAAAATTTTGTCAAATTTAACTTTAAACTAAATTAAGCTTTGAGAAACATTTGTACAGCACACTGTAAAAGAGGCAGACAGCAATCTGAATCTTCTGCTCGGTGCTGACATTCTTTACCCTGATGCTGCTGCTAATTAGACTTTGATGACTAACAAACAATATGAATATCAGGGAAACATTAACTGACTTTATATTTGGCTGGTTTCAATATTCAATCTACAGGTCGGATATTGATTACTGGAGATAGAATTTTGACATAAGTATTATGGAGCACAAGTCAGATACCTATTGGTAGTAACCAAATCTATCTGTGGATAGAATATTGAAACCGGCCGATAGATGATCAATCTGAACCTTTCTTATTAATCTAACCTGCTTAAGGTCTAATAGCACTAAAAGGTTACATTTACTTTTGCCTCAATTAAAACACGTAGAAAATGTTTTCTACATGTTTTAATGCTTAATCTTAAGTGCAGAGATTAGCACTATAAAAACTTTAAAATTTGCCTCAATTATTAATACTAACATACATAACAACTATAAAACTTTACATAAACTCAAATAAATTACCTTATATCTGGGCTTGGCATTTTCCTTGCCTTCCTTTGCAGGTAACAGACGTTTCACAACATAACGGCGGACATCATCTTGTTTAGTCAAGTTAAACAGTTTGCGGATTTTCGATGCACGCTTGGGACCAAGACGGCGTGGTACTTCACCATCGGTCAAGCCAGGGATTTCCTTAACAATTTATAACACATAGTATTTGATATTGTTTTGCTTGTGTCAACACTAATTATATCTTATGGTAAACTGCAATGTCTCATGTTAAAAATGCTTATGCTCAATAGAGAAAGCATAAAGTTTTATTTAACATTATTTTTCTTAATATACCCTGCCGCATATAATTACTCAGATTTGAGGATCTGAGAAACAGTAAGAACAGGGATAAGTACAATACAATAAAGTTATATATAAAATATTTATGGTAATTATAAATAGTTACCTGAGCACCCTTGCGGACAATAACAAGGGCTAACACAGACAAGTTAGCGTCAACAATGCAACCACGAACTGACTTGCGCTTTCTCTCACCGTCACGGCGGGGTCTGTAGCAAGAGTGACCCTTAGACATAAGCAAACGTACACGACCTGAAACCAAGTTAGTTTGCATAAATATATAAACAATATTAAAATCGTAAACATTATTTTTTTAACTTACGTGATGTATTATTGACGGAAAAAGTAGATAAATCATTATATATAGTAAAAAGAAATGTTAGTTAAACATGATGGGGAAACTAAGTAGGTAGTTTTCCGCTGATATAAATAATTTCCTAAATAATAATATGTTAGTGGAACTTACTGTTGGTCAGCACTCCCTGCTTCATCGGAAATCCCTGCTTGTCGTTGCCACCGGCAACACGTAAGATATAACCCTTCCATTCATCTCCAAGTTGATCTGCCTCCACTTCAGCGCCCATGCGCTTCTCGTAAAAGATACGGAGCTTGTGCTCGTCCACCACCTCGAATAACTTCTGACATCCCGTTACCGGGTAGGAGACGTTCAGCTACAATAACAATATTAGGTTATAAACATACTGGAAGTAAATAGTTATAAAGCACTACAACATAATGAGTCATAGAGAAATTCATAGGAATACGAAATAATTTCACTCTTAAAAACACGAAACCGCACAAAATGAACATGAGTGTTTCAACATAGCGGTCATGTCATAAGTTATCCATATTTTTCAGGAGAATCACAAAACTGAATGAACTTAGTGCATAGGATTTAAATAATCGATCGATTCAGTAATAAAATAACAACGCTATTTTAACTAATTTTCTTAAACTGAATAAATAATAAACACTTCATATAGACCTTCATGACTGCAGTTAGCTCTTCAGAACGTCAGCCATGAAAAAGAACCATAAACTTGCTAGAAGGAGAGCTGTAAACTATAGAATTTAGTGACATAAACAAATGTCAAAAATTGTTGCTAGGCTAGATTTTTATGACAAAAATGATAATACGATTTATAATGATTTTAATTTCCCTTATTATTGTATATTCCCCCTCTTTTTCGATTTTGTAGAGGCAAATGATAAAGTACACAAAAACGGTATCAAAATTAACAGACACGCTCTTTCACATCATGGAAATGACTTTTGTTCAGCACTTGCAAGTCCTCTGGCTGCTATTAATTTTATACTTACTTTTGTCTAGTTATCTATTTAAAAAAAAAAAGATAAGACCGCAGAGTTTCTTGCCGGTTCTTTAATGGACAGGTCTAGTTAAGTGAACCCGTGGTAGTTTTTTGACGTTTAATAAGAGCTTAAAATAAGTTGGATAAATAAATTTTGACATTGATGTCACTCGAGCCCTTCTATTCAAGCCACCCACTCAGAGTGTGTGCTTCTCAAGGTTCATGTCTCTCGTTTCTGCTTTTGTCATTTTACATGAGCAACGGAGATTCAGACAGACTTATGCGACATCTCGAATTTTATGTTCCAACCTCTTTTTTTCGCCCCAACCTCTTCACACCAGGCAAACCGTATGGATCAAATATGATGTATATGAGAGTTAAATACATCAACATATAACCGACCAACACTGCGGACAAACAACATGAAAGTATACCACCCAGTGGCGGATTTACTAGCAAGTTATACTTAGCTATAGCCTACTGGCTAGAGCCTAGGGCGGCAGATTTTAGGGGGCGGCAAATTTTGCCCAAAGTTTTTTGTCTTAAAGGCAAAAATTTTAATCCTAGCACCGCCACATTGAATTTAGTGGCAACTGCCGTTGCTTAATTGTGTATAGAAGCTTATGGATTTTTCATGATGCTACAGGAAATTCAATTTTTTTGTAAGCTCGACAAAATGCTGGAAAAAATTAATTAGTGAAATCGGGAAAGAAAAAAACCCTGAAGAGAGAAAATTTCACACATTGGTTAGCTTGAGCGGATGCATGTAAAAGTTTGAGAGATTCTTGGCATGAAGTTTTTAGAACTTTGGAATCAATCAAGGGAGATTGTACCGAAAAGCGCGACAAGAAGCGGCGATATTTTTTAATTTGGAAAAACTGCAAACGGTATTAATGGTTGTTGTGTGGAATGTTTTTTTGGAGAGATTAAACAAAGTGAACGTTAAAAGTCAGGTTTCCACTGTTCATGTGCAATCTTTACGAATCGTTCCGTAAGTTTTTCATGGCTGAACGCGAAATTAAGTGTAACGAAATAATGTAAGTCAGAGATCGAAAAAAGACAACCGAAAAGAAAAAAAGGTTGAAACATCCGAATAAGCTATTAGAATGATGAAGAGGCTCACAAAGAATATATCGAGAAGTTTTCATTTCTAACAAAAATGAGTGAGCTGTTACCGTCGTCCCTGACGGGTAAAGCCATTTCCTTGGAATAAATTTATCCAGATGACTTAGAAACTGACTTAGTTCAGGAATGCATACACTTTCAATGTCTCCATTCTTCGGAAAAATAATCGATAAAACCAGATTCCGGATCATTAACAGAAAACAAAATTTGGGCCCTCTCTTCCTAATTTCTATTAATGATATCTGTAGTGTGAAAGTTGATAATGACATTTTCTTTCCCCTACGCTGACGACACAGCTATTCTTTTAGCTGGAAAAAATGCTCATCAGTAGTTAAAATAATGCAGAAGCCCTCTTCTGCATTAATTTAATACTGTACATTTGAGAGTAGCCCTTTGGTTGAAGGTTACCTAATCTTCTAACCTTAAACAAAGCTTTTTTTTAATGTGAAAAGTTGCAAAGCGAGCAGGTGGGTTAAGTGAATACCACCTGATGTTAAGTGAATACCGCCGCCCATGGACATCTACTACACCCGAGAGTTTGCAGATGCGTTGACAACCTTTTGAAAAATTGGACTCCGGCTACCTCACTCACCAGACGAAATGCGGAAGTATTACACGTCCACTTTACGACGGTCTTCTGTGAGGTCGTGGTACTTACCCGGACGAGCCTGCCCATTCGTGCAACAGCCGAGGCTGATGCGTGGCCCCATCACAGCTAAAACGAATTATTACTGTTACAGTATCCTAAAGCTTATACAACCTAGTCCTGATTTTAGACTTAAATTCATTCTTGTTAATCCGACTTGAGATTGTCTTGCTATTGAAAAAAGACATAACATCAGGGTCTCCTTTACTGATTCCGATCTGGGGAGGAGTAAAACAAAAATGATGGAAGTCGAACGTGCAAAACGCGCTTTAATGTTTTATGGGTAGGGTCATTTCATTGGTGCCCCGAAGATCTACTTTTCATATCCAGAGGGGGAGGTAAGTGGGTTGCGTGCTTTCATCAGCTGTTACGTCAAGAGTACCTATAATTCTTAATAATCTTAATACATTTTTTAATGAAATGGCAGCTTTTTATTTTTTACTTTATTTGGTGACACATGAATGACATTGACAATGACAGACAATCACTATCGCTGTTTGGTGCTATGCTAGTCTTCGTTCGGTTCGCTGTTCGCAATCGCAATTTGCATTCAAATATGAAATAAGTCAGTCTGTCTTCTGTCTCAACTCAGATCTAAATTCGGCGAATTGTTTGTCAGTTAATGTTAAATTTGGTTAATTTTTTAAATTATTATTGGTATTATATAATATTAAGATAAATATTAATGAGTGCCATAAGATTGTGGCAAATTCAATTGGATACAGATATTCAACTTTGGATTATTATTAAAATCAGAAGTTGGCGCTTTCACTTTTAAATAAAACAAAATGATTAGTAATGACGAAAACAAGGAACTAGCTCATCGGCAGCATGTAAAATATTTTATGAGATTTTTAAACATATTGCCATCGTCACTTTCTTCACATGACTCTACGAGGTATTTTTTTTAAACATTTTATTTAACAAACACTATTAAACAAAGCAAAAAATTAACTATTTACATTGTTAAAATGTTAGATAACATTTTCTGTATGACATTTTCCTTATAGTTCATTGCTTCTTTGTCTAAAGCTCTGACTATTTGTATCATTTTATCGTGAGTAAAGTATATGTTATGGGGGAGGCCTATGTTCAGCAGTGGACTCAAACAGGCTGAAATGATGATGATGATGATGAAAGTATATGTTTTTTTAATTGGTTGCATTAGACATAGTAGCATTTTAAAAATGTTATCTTTTAATAAGAGAAAAGTTATTAAAGAGCTAAAAAGATCTTATTTGGGTTACATTCTCCAATAGAGTTATTTAAATGAACGAAAAAACACAAAGGTTTTCAGGTTACCCACGACTTTGTGATGTTACCCTGTATCCTTTTATAAATTGTGCTATTAGTAGCACAATTTATAGAAGGAAACAGGATTGTTAGAAATCCTAACCAATGTGTTAAATAAATTGTGAGCCTAGTTTATCTTACTTTATAGTTTTAAACTAAGTTTTGGTCATACTAACTATAAATGTTTACAAATTTATCAACCTTTTTTTTATTAAAGATTTGCACAATATGAGGCTTTTCCACAAAGTAATAGTGAATTTTCTTAGTATAAAACATCACAACAAAATCTGAATTATTTTTCTTATACATTTGTATTAATCTTTATCTTTCATAAATAAAAAATGATTATAATTAAATAAAAAAATATTTATTTTAGAAGTTTATAATATTTAAAATTTCTAAAATAAAAGTAGCCCAAGTTACTCTTTATTACATCAGCTATGATGTAATAAAGAGAGAAAAGTGAATGTCTCGTCAAAATCAATTGAGCTGTTTCAGAGATTAGCCAGAACAAACAGACAAAAGTTGTAAAAGAAATAATTTTCTATATATATATATATATATATATACATTTATACAGCGTGTCGTTACCATCGCGACAATAAATGAACACACGTCTAACGCTACGTGCCAATAATCATAAAAAAATATTAACGTTAAACAAAATCCATAATTAAAAAAAAATATTTTTCAAACAAACTAATTAAGTAAAAAAGAAATAAAATTTGTAACATTCTATATAACTCGCGCCACAGCGTCGTATTACAAGCCTCTCCTTCTGACAGTATGTTTTGTCTCATTTAAATTCATTCAACCCATTCATATGCTTTGTGACCTTTACAAATGAACTTTACGTTACGATTTTATAGGTGAGGGTGTTCTAAAATTATTTGTTTTGGAAAATTTAATAACTCTGTAAATATTGATGTTTAAAGAATTTAAATGTTTAATACAACTTTAAAAAGTTATTCTTTATATGTGTGTTCATTTATTGTCGCGATGGTAACGACACGCTGTATATGTATGCATGCATTTCGTAAAATGGGTTATTTTAATTATGAACAATTTAATTTATCTGTATAGGTAGAAATTTTTGTTCATAAATAAATGTCATATTGTTTTGTTTCAGGGTTACAATAGCATATTTTTCAGTAGCTGGTTTAGATGTATTAGGAGCAATAACATCAATATCAATTGAACTACGATCAAGAATAATTGATTGGTTATACTTATTGCAAGTTGAACCGAATAAGGAAAGTAAGTATGTAATAAATTGTTTAAATAGAAATATAATTTTTCTTGTGGTATTATTGTGCTTAGTTACATTTATTTCAAGCAGACAAGGGAATATTTAGTGATTGCAAATGTATGATAAACCACAAATCAATATGCAGTCTTTATTGAATGATTTTTTCCGTTCAGACTAGACAGTGAAATTTTAATCAATCGCAGAGCTTGTGGAACAGCCAGATTACATATATGTTAGGACTATGTGTGAATCCCGGTGGATCCAGACTTCCTTCAGTCCCCTTCCTTGACACAGTCGGTTAGGACATTAGGAGGTTGCCATTTCCTAACAGTCAAGTTTGGCTTGTAAAGTGAATTTTGAAGAGATTTAACAATCTTAAGAGTAAAGAGTAACTGATTGTGTCATTTTAAAAATGCATCATCAATTCCAAATCAGTCTTGAATTTGCCCTTACTTTAAAAATATATATATCTTTTTTGCACTACATTGTGTTATTAACATAGTTTATATAATTAATAAGTAGTTTTAGCAGTTATTTGTAATAATACAAACCCAGTAATTTCAAAATACAGTAATACCCCGAACTTACATGATAGGTAGGACCAAGCTCTATTGGCCTAAGTCGGGGTACAATTTTGCATGAAAAAACATACAAAGTATGTTTAATTGGGACCTGAGACTAAATAAAACAATAATTTAGGAAATAAATGTGGAAATAATTGTAGGTAATATGACAAATTATTTTAGTATAAACTGTATAAACAATCCGAAGTTATTTTGATGTCGAAGGTTTCATAAAATCTAACAAAGTCGTCTGACGAGTCAATGATTTTTTCTTCTCCCGTAATATCTCGTACCATGGTAGCATGCAACAAAACAAGGAATAAAAAAAATTACTAGTAATTTTTATGTTGCAGTCTCTGTTTTCCAAAATTGTTAACCTTTTCTCAATTGAACTGAGGGCTACCTTGACTACGCGGTGTTCACTCAAAAGACGACGAGAAAAGAAAAGACGAGAGAATTAAAAAAAAATCGTATAACTCCGTATTCGCGTATGTCGAGGTAGCGTAGTCAAAGTCAAAGTCAAGTGACTACTTTAATCATCTAACTAATAATAACCTATCCTGAGAATAATTTGAATTGACCTCAATTATTGATCTGTTAAAAGAATGCAAATGTTACATTTTCAATGTAACACCTTATTTCTTTTATTGTTTATGATTACATTCATTATTATTATCGCTAAGTACATTTGGAGACCATGGCACTGTTCATAATGTTATAAATGTGAGTCTATAATCAAATATAGACGTATTTTAATCTCTCGGTCTATTCATGACATCATATAGTTACTACCATCTTGTTTGCTTTGTATTTAAAAATTACTCTGATTATAAAATCCATATACCATTTTAAATATCATAAAAAGCGTAATAAGCGCGAGGAATCAACTACCGTAGAGTTATGTTTTCACAGTCAATATGTTCTTTAGGTACCATTAAATGCCGTTTTCCTTATCGCCTTTATGATTAAAGTATGAAGTAAACCTTGATTTCTGCGTTTTTATACCGCAGTTAATTAACGTCGTTTATTATTTATATAGTTTAGTAACTATTGTTGCGGAAGTTAGTTCTACGCGAAACGTAATTGAATGATGTTTACGGTGGTAGCCACGCAGCAGCCTTGGCTGTTGCACGAATGGGCAAGCTCGTCCAGGTAAGTACCACGACCTCACAGAAGACCGGCGTAAAGTGGAAGTATAATACCTTCGCGTTTCGTCTGGTGAGTGAGGTAGCCGGAGCTCAATTTCCAAAAAGGTTGTCAACGCATCTACAAACCCTCGGGTGTAGCAGTTGTCCATGGGCGGCAGTATTCACTCAACATGAGATGAACCGTCTGCTCGTTTGGCAATTTTTCACATAAAAAAAAGGGTTTCGTACCCAAAGGGTAAAACGGGACCCTATTACTAAGACTCCGCTGTTTGTCTGTCCGTCTGTCGCCAGGCTATATCTCATGAATCGTGATAGTTAAGACAGTTGAAATTTTCGCAGATGATGTATTTCTGTTGCTGCTGTATCAACAAATACTAAAAAAGAATAAAATAAAAAATATTTAGCCGATTTAAAACTAGGATGTGCTTCTTTTCGTAAGAATCCGTCGTTTTTTTTGTGTTTCGAATTCAAATTGAAAATTTATTAAATACTTTTTCAGATGGGGACATGTCCACATGTGGCTTTCAGGGTTCATCAACTATAAACATAGACTTGGACACAGCGAACAGCCACTACAGGTGTGGTCATCTCGCGATGACGTATACTGGCCTATGCACTCTGCTGGCTTTGGGCGACGACCTCTCGCTGATCAACAGAAAAGCCATCATAAATGGTGAGTCGAGTAACATTTGTCCTTTATGTGCAGCCACTCTATTGTCGCATATTTTTTTATTTAATCTGTATAAATTTTACGTTTACCGCAAACTAGCCAGTGCTTGATTACCATGGCATCTGTCGGTAGGTTGGATACATTGCCTTTTCCAAAAAATGGAACGGACATTGTATCCTTAAACCTGTTTTGCTGTTGATTCTGAACACCCAAGTTATTGTATTTGTCATGAGACGACATTTTTCAAACAACTGCCACAAAAAACACAATACGCGAGACTGCCCTTTTTTTTTTAAATTGTCACGAATTCAACACTCTCCCGAAAGGCGTGAAGGCGTTGCAGACAGACGAGGGCAACTTCGCTGCGACGCTCTCCGGCTGCGAGTCTGACATGCGCTTCGTTTACTGCGCGGCGAGCATAAGCTACATACTGAACGACTGGTCCGGTTTCAACATCGAAAAGGCCACGGAGTACATCGTGAAGTGTATAGTGAGTACACAGTACCGTCTTTACCATAAGGGCACCAGAGGCCCGTGCCCTATCGTCATGGGTACCCTGGCCTACGTATTCGCTTAAACTATACAATTTCCTCACTATTTTTCTTAAACATATTCCGACAAGCTCATAGAATAAACTAGCTTTTCGCCGGTGGCTTCCCTCGCATTTACTGTTTTAACAACACTTTTTACCGATTAAAACTGCCTAAAATAGCCTATGTCCGTTCTCAGGATCTAGACTATATGTGCACCAAATTTCATTTAAATCGGTTCAGTAGTTTTGGAGTGAAAGCGAGACAGACAGACAGAGTTATTTTCGCATTTATAATATTCGTATGGATAATAATTTAAGATAATGCAGAAAAAATGTTTTTGTCATTCATTTTTTTTACTTTCCATCGGGACCCTGTAGTCTCGGGCTCATAGAATATAGCTAAGATATCTCCTGCCCGTCGTAAAAGGCGACTAAAAGTGGACACGGATTGGCAGCAGCACGAAGTGGTCTCGTGCTGTAAGACGGCGAGGGAATCGGGGAAGGTTTATCCTTCTCCGGGGCGTGCTCAAGCGCAGTACTGAGGGACACCGGTGCGTTCCGTAGGAGATCACGGAGTCCCTCCAAACGTACAGAAGGTGGCCACCGAGGGGGTTTTATTGGGTACGAATCCCACATAACCCATAACCCTGTCATATCATGACAGGGTTATATAAGGATACCAAAAAAAAAGGGGCCCGATATGGCCTAAGACGGCATTATGTACAGTTCTGTTATTGATTTCATGTTCGACATGATGTGGCACGATACAAGAAGGGATTAATGTCACGTGATTAGAAGAGCGTTGAGCGCAAACGAGTTTGGAGACTTCGGATGTACTGTGTTTCTTTCCATGGACGTTTGCAACACCCGTAGGGTTGCAGATGCGTTGCCACCTTTTAATAAAGTGGGCCCCGGCTACCTCGCTCATCGGACGAAACGCAGAAGTATAACACTTCAACTTCACACCGGTCTCCTGTCAGGTCGTTGGTACTTAACCGGACGGAGTTTTGTTATTAATTACATGTGGATACGATTCGGACGGAGTTTTGTTATTAATTACATGTGGATACGATTCGGACGGAGTTTTGTTATTAATTACATGTGGATACGATTCAACATGACGTGGCACGCCATGAGAAGGGATGGAATTCATGCGATTATAAGGGCGTTGACTACGAATGATGTTGGAGACCGAGGAAGGTTTGGATGGACTGTGTTAAGGATATGTTGGCGAAAGATGTGAGTATTGAGATGATGGCTGATAGGACAGTGGAATGGTATTTAGGCGATTCCAACGAGCGCGTAGGAAAGGGCAGGAGAAAGAGTAAAAAATAAAGAAAGGTATTTAGGGTTCATATAAGTTAAACGACTTACATATTTTTTTAAATTATGATTTTACAGCAAAAATATATTTCTATATACTTTTTATAGTAATAAACATAGTTTCTATCTACTGTTTGCACATATTTTTTTTGCCAATCCACACGCTTTTGGATTCCGTCAACCAAGGTCAGACGAAGAACACATCTGTATAATAAGTACGTCACCTCGGCCAGGCTTACCGGCAGATATATAGTTCATATTTGGAAACGTATTATAGATGGTAGTAATATAATAATGTGTGGCTGTCCATAGGTTAGGTTTCACATTTCTTTGCCGTGCAAGGCCCTATTTCTCCACACGCTCTAGTTTGTCTAATCCCACGTCAAGAGTAGTAAGCGAGCCGCTAAGTTTAAACGACTGTCTAAAAGATCGTTAAATTAGTAACGAACGTTTGGTTTAATATTGCAAAATTATTTAATTAAGCCGTTAATAAATTCATTTAATATCTTTTTTTTTTCAATTAAGATTACTGGCATACGAGATAAAAAATATTTGTTTCCTTTAAGCAATAACTTTTACATTAAATGAAGATATCACATTTTTTCACATAAGTGTCAGGGTTCTAAGAAATAAATAGTGAAGATACAATTAAAATCTGTCCAGTAGTGTTTCCGTGATATCCGATAGGGCTGCCACTTGTTTTTGAGAAAAATAAAGTATTTGCAAGAAGAAAAAGTATAATTTATCAAAAATATTAAAATGAAGTGGTTTTTGGAAAAAATGTTTTTGATAAATTATAAAACATAGTTAACAGCAAAAGCTTCTAATTTGAAAGCGTTATGTTTTAACTTAAAAGTATCGATAAAAGTTCAGAAATTATTCACATAGATTGTAATTGTTTTCTTTTATGCATCACAGTAAAAATACAGTATTTTCACATTTTTATGCAAAATTATAAAGTATTTTTACAAAAAATGAAGTAAAATACTTTATTGTAAAGTATGGTTGGCAACCCTATGCGCGCACAACGGCACACATCTACCGTTTTACTTGTGCAAATGTTGCCATCGCCACTTCCAATTGCAGGGCTACGACTACGGCATAGCGCAATGCCCCGAGCTCGAATCGCACGGCGGCACTACCTACTGCGCGCTGGCAACCCTCAGCCTGACCAGACAGCTCGACAAGCTGCCCGCGCGTCAGATCGAGGGGCTGCGCAGGTGGCTGGTGTTCCGACAGGTGGACGGCTTCCAGGGCAGGCCCAACAAGCCGGTGGACACCTGCTACAGCTTCTGGGTGGGGGCATCCCTCAAGATCCTCGACTCGCTGCAGCTGACGGACTACCAGGGCAACAGGAGGTATGTATACGAGACGCAGGACTGTGTGGTAGGCGGTTTCTCCAAGTGGCCCGACACCTGCACCGATCCGATGCACACATATCTCGGCCTCGCCGGTCTCAGTTTGGTCGGCGAGAGCGGACTGCTCGAGATCGTGCCCACTCTAAACGTGACGGTGCGAGCGCACGACCATTTGAAGAGCCTCCACGCGAAATGGGCGAGCGGCTCGTAGCTCGCGTCGTCTGTCGTTTTCCCGCCCAAAAACGCAGCGTGTCCCGTTTTTTTTTTTTTAGACAAATGCCCCGTGGCCGTTCTGCCGACGCTGCGATGTTTTGACATTGAGACGTTTATACTTGCAATTTTCAGTTAACAAATTGAGCACGGTTCGCAGATTTGTATAGTGTTTTCTTGATGTTAGTATCGGAACGTAAATTGGTGGTCAATCCACGTAAGGCTTTGATACGGTTTACGAAAATATTTCATCCTTCTGTTTAATTTTATAAATTGACAATCAATATACTGTATACTGGTCGAATAAAAATATTGTGCTTCATAAAAAAAAAATCTTTAAAAATAGAACAAAGGAGTAACGAACGATTTACTGATTTTATAAATTTTAGAAAGTAATAGGAACAAAAAATATTTATAGAACAAGATTTTTAAGTGTTCTCTAGCATAATATTTTTATTCGGCTAGTATAGAATATTATAGGAGAATATTTTTGATATGTTTTTTGCAGTATTGCTATTAAAGTTTGGGTTGTTCATGTAATTTTAATGATTATTAGGTGCTAATTCTTTATAAGTTACCGATGATAAGGTTAGTCGTTCGTCGGGCAACGATTAATGAGAATTAATTTAGCATTATAGTACAATAATGTATTTTCATTGTGCCATGTCTTGTAATTAGGCTGGAAACACATTAGGGATATTACGTACGTAATATTATTACGATTAGATGTAATTTTTTTTCTAATATGTTTTTATACTAATGTACTGAAATAATATTCTAGATATTTTCGTGTTCAATATGTTCAATATATTCATGTTATAAGAGGTTTATATTCAGTATTGTTTTTACATTATTGTTACATATTTTTAATGGTTTGTTGAAATATCTGTCACATATGCATTGTGGAATTATTTGAAGTGTACTAATTGTTCTAAATTAATTCTATTTTCTAGTGTTAAAAAAATCTTTCTCACCGAATCCTTATCAACAATGACTAATGTATAAAATAGCAACGTGTCATTTTAAATTCTTCTTTAATTTGAATATATAAATTAAATATTGAAAATTGTGGTAATCAAATCGTAAAATGTGTCTCCAGCTTTATATAAATGATGTACAGTCATTGTAGTTAGGCATTTATAAAATTGTCGCACAAATTTATTGTTGTGTCCCGTTGTTATGTACAAAAAGTGTAACGACGCATTTATTATATTTTTTAGACTTATGAAACACAAATATTAAGTCTAATGTAAGACACCCATGTCGTCCTAGTACATAGTCTGATATCACTTACCATAAGAATCATTCTTTTTTTTACAACGAAAAACTCGTAAACTATAATCTACTTATGTAATTATCCAAAAAAATCTGTTGATCCGATCGCTACCCATCACCGCAGAATCATAAACTGGGCTAATCTGAGCATTGCCTCTAAATTTTATCAAAATCTGTCCAGCCGTTTTACATATGATTACGTAGATTGACAAGTCTAAACACTATAAGATACCTATTCGATTGTTATATGCTACAATAGTATTTCATATAAGGTCAAAACTCGGTGAGAGGTAGGTATGGATTGTATTTCTGCATGGTTGTCAACCGAATTTTCTGTATTCACTGCATCTTGTGTAAATAGAAAAATAGAAAACATTCTCTGGGAGTCACAATCTATTTATTCATCGATAAAATAAATTAGATCTATTGGTTTTGCGAAACGTGGCGTTAATTTTTCTGGTCATACATTAACTAAGGTGTACATAAGTGGAAAGAAATAATTATTATGATGTTTGTCAACGACTCACGCGTTTTCGCAAAGATTGTTTTTCTGCATGACAACAACAATTTTTGGATGTACTTTGGTTAAATGATTTGTTTCTATGTAAAATTTTAAATTACCTCATAAGAAATTGAATAAGTTTGCTCTTGCTTAAAATTCGAATAAAAATTGTATTCTTTTCCCAGTTGATGCATTTTATTGTGGTTCCCAGCGAAATAGAATTTAGTCCTCATTGAAATTATGATTTATTTGTCGTTGCATAGTTTTTTGTTTTGGAGTACTAATTGTGATTTTTGTATGCGTTTTTATTAAAACACAGAAATAAGGCAACCTTTTTACTCGGTAACATCAGGGTTGGTCCAAAAATGAAGCTCAACAAACATATCGCGCCTTTGAATTATATTTAAACCAATTGGCGCAATGATATGGTAAGAATAAAGGAGGGATTGTATAGGGAGGGAAGTTTAACAGAGCTAGTAACTATGTTTACCACTTGGGACAGCGCAGAAGCCGTGGCTAATCTTTGGGAAAAAAAGTGTAAAATATGTTATGTCGAATATTATGATTATTTTTATTCATTACATGAAAGTCGTCAGTTAAAAAGAAATATTCATGTGGAAACTTTGACAGATAATTAGTGATTTGATATAATGGTTGACGAATTGAAAATGTTTTTTTACTTTTAACTTTTTCTTTATGTAAAATACAAATATTTTGTTTGTGTCGGGAATCGTCGACTTGTTAAAGCGCGAAAATAAGAAATAAATAATATGCAGCACGATATGAATGTATTACATTTTTTAAACGCCCTTGTTTTCTTCAAACCCTATCCTTCTAGAACCTAAACCTCTAGAATGGGTTGTCTGTTTAGCTCAGTGGCTAGAGCGTCAGGCCGTGAGTGCCGAAGACGTGGGTTCGATTCCCACAGCGGCGACAATCTTTTCGTACCTTTTCTACATGTTTTAATGTTCAATCTTAAGTGCAGAGATTAGCACTATAAAAAAAAAATTTAAAAATTTATAAAATGCAATGGCGACATCTCGTTCGAATTATCGTTGTAAAACGATATTTGAAATTGTTTGTATGCTGGAAAGGATATAACAATAGATGCGCCAAGCATTGCTTCAAATGCTAAATAACAATGTAGAAAGAAGGCGTTAAGATTTTCGTCGCTGTGGCTATCAGCCGTTTAGCTCAGTGGCTCAGTGGCTATCAGCCGTTTAGCTCAGTGAAGCGTCAGGCAGCGAGTGCCGAAGACGTGGGTTCGATTCCCACAGCGGCGATAATCTTTTCGTACTTTTTCTACATGTTTTAATGTTCAATCTTAAGTGCACAGATTAGCACTATAAAAAAAATCTTTAAAAATTTATAAAAAGCAATGGCGACATCTCGTTCGAATTATCGTTGTAAAACGATATTTGAAATTGTTTGTATGCTGGAAAGGATATAACAATAGATGCGCCAAGCATTGCTTCAAATGCTAAATAACAATGTAGAAAGAAGGCGTTAAGATTTTCGTCGCTGTGGCTATCAGCCGTTTAGCTCAGTGGCTAGAGCGTCAGGCAGCGAGTGCCGAAGACGTGGGTTCGATTCCCACAGCGGCGACAATCTTTTCGTACTTTTTCTACATGTTTTAATATACCAATGATATTATACAACCGCGACAATAAATGAACACATGTCTAACGCTACTTGCCAATAATAATAAAAATATATTTTTCAAACAAACTAATTAAATAAAAAAGGATCAAAATTTGTAACATCCTATACAACTACAACTGACTAATTCAGACATTCAGAGACAGAATTTTAAAATGTTATCCTCTATATGTGTGTTCATTTATTGTCGCGGTTGTAACGACAAGCTGTATACTGAGAATTGAGACACTCAAATTACACCAATTGCTGTAATTAGATTTCAATTCTATAGGCTATCTCTTTACATATTTTAAACGCCACGCAGTATGGACACGTGTCATCCCATATTAAACATCATTGCTTTAAGGCGCTGTATGCAGTAAAAATAGGTTTTTCAAAAGATTTTTTAGCAAAATCTATACATTTTATAGCAGCAAAAAATATATGTTAATCTTGATCTTTCATTCTAATGAAGTATTGTTTTCAACACATATTCTCGATATATTTTCTCGATAGAAAAAAATCATGAAACTACCGCTAAAAGAGAAATTCAAATCCAAAAATGAACGTAATACATAAACGAATCTTAATGAAATGAATATCAGTGGTATAGAATATTGTAATAACAAGGATTGTTGTCTTAATTTGTTGATTGAAGAATAAGTAAGATATTTGTAAATATTAATTTAATTCATTAAAATTAATTCGAAGGCGACGACCAAAACACCGAGCCACCGCGGCATTGTTTCGGTTCTCTTCCATTTCCACACGTTGAACAGAGAGCGCTGAGGCGCGTTGCTTGATGGACTTATGCCGCTCGTCCTCCGCACACCGAAATGTATATTCACATATTTCGTATATTTAATTATTTGAATGCACAACTAAAGCGTAATTTCAATATCTTATCCTGTGATTGATTAGGTTTATCAGTCCTACATACACACAGTGGACCATCATTCTATAAGGGTGGGTTCAAATCTCTACATTTCTTTGTTATAGTTTTTGGTGATTTCATTTATGGAAATATTTTTTTTCATGTACCATTTAATTTTTTATTTTTATCAATAATTACAACGAAATATTATTGTATTTTTTGACCGTAGAACGCAACAGTTGGAAACAATCTATCAGATAATAAACCAACTTTTCATTATTTCTTATATTGAATATTATTTTAATATTATTATTTTAATTTTTTTGTATTAAAATATTAAATTTTTCACCCTAAAACGAAAATTAATAATAAAAATAATTGTTATATAATTTTTTCATTAATTTGTGTATTTTCCAAATTTTATGACATAAAAACAAAATAATTAATTAATTAACAAATTAAAATTGGAAAAAGATATACCACTCAATAAGGTTTGAACTAGGGACCACCGTAATTTTTCACCTACCATGAGGCTCGGACCAATAGGCTGCACAATGGCTGTGGTTAGTGACAAAATTTCGATTCTAGTTATAATTTTTGTCGTTTATTTTTTTAAAGATCATTTCATTAAGGAATTTATATAAAGTAGTAACTCTTTATCATTTAAAGAAATATGTAATAAAAAAGTCGTTTTCGTAATTTCTGCCGT